CTCCAAAGAGCATCCCATCCAGACCAATTCCCCTACCCTGCATTTCCCATGTCTAACCCACCTAACCTAAACACCCCTGGGCACTATAGGCAATTTAGCATAGCCAATCCACTTACCCTGCACATCTCTGGACTGTGGGAGGAAACCGGAGCACCCGGAGGAAACCCATGCAGACATGGGGAGAATGTCTGCGTGGAGTTTGCACAGTCGCCAGAGGTTGCAATCAAACCCGGGTCGCTGGCGCTGTGAGGCAGCAGTGCTAACCACTGAGCCACCGTGTTTTATCTTTTCACAAGATGTGAGCCTTGCTGATAAAGCTAGCTTTTGCTACTCATTCTTAATTACCCAATATTTCTGTGAAACTGCAGGAATTTAGCCCCTTGAGAATGCTCCACAATTTGATAAGATGTTGGCAAATGGGATTTTGGCTTCAACTCTATTTTCCTGTCTATTCCCTGTGTAACCTTTCACTGTCTGGTTAATAAAGAATCCAACTCAATCTTGAAAATATTCAATGGTCCTGCTTCCAGAGCTCTCTGAAGAGGAGAATTCCAGATTATTAACACACAAAGAAAAAAATTCCCATCTCGGTCTTAAATGGCACAGCCCCATATTTAAATTATGTTTCCTGCTTCTTGTTTCTTCCAAAAATGGAAAATATTCTCTGCATCTACCCCATGAAATCCCCTCTACATCATCTTAACTCCAAATGATACAGGCCCAGTCATGGAGTCATACAGCTCGGAAACAGACCCTTCGGTCCAATGTTTCCATGCCAACCAGATATCCCAATCAGACCTGGTCCCACTTGCCAGCATTTGGCCCACATTCCTCTAAATCCTTCCTATTCATGTATCTATCCAACTGTTTTTAAATGTTGTAATTGTACCTGCCTCCAACATGTCTGCTGGCAGTTCCCTTGCACCATTCTCTGCATAACAGAAGTTACCCCTGAGAACCTTTTTAAATCTTTCCCCTCTCGCCTTCAACCGATGCCCTCCAGTTGTGGACTCCCCCACCCTAGGAAAAAGACTTTGGCTATTCACCTCACATATGCCCCTCATGATATTATGAGCTTCTACACGGTCACCCCTCAGACTCTGATGCTCCTGGGAAAAAAAGGCCCCAACTGATTCAGCCTCTCCCTTTCACTCAAACCATCCAGTCCCGGCAACATCCTTGTAAATCTTTTCTGATCCTGGCAGTGATCACTGCATTCCATTAATAACATGCAGTATAAAATAGGTAATGAAAGGCATAGGGCTTATTCCTTGGCAGGAAACTTGTATTAAGCAATTAGGTCAACCTATAAGATAAAATAGAGCTGTAAAGATTGGAGGACAATTTAAGAAGGCTGTTTAAAAACAGCACATATGAACCTTTGCCAGAGAGGCAAAGAATACAAAAGTAAGGAGGTTACAGTATGCTTTCTTTTATAAAATTTGGTTAGGCATCATTAGAGCAAAAAATGAAAAGAAAATAAGGAATAAAATTAAAGAGACGACTGTCATTCTCAAAGTTTAGAACAGCCACTTTACATTCCTCCCCAGACAAACATTTCTCTCATTATTGATATGCTTATTCTTCCCTTCACAAGTGTTAGGGCTGTTTTTCGTTAACATGAAATAGCTGCCTGTGTTTTTTAGTTGACATAAAAATGGCCAAAATTGTTAGCTGGAGCAGTCACTTACACAGTCAAAATCGTGGCCTTCATACTCATTGCAACCAGATAAGATATAAAGTGTCTTGTAAAAATCACACATGGGATCTTATTAAATAGTAACAAAAATGTAGCCACTGCTTAGGCAGAGAGAGCTTTCATTAGGATCATCCTTGAAAAGCACAAAATGAGGCCCCTCTCGCAAGCCAATTCAAACTTTGTGATTTAATATTAGATAGAAGGGGAAAAGCTTGACTCACGTTAGTTAAAATCCTTTAGATGATTGCAATTACATATACATATATGAATAATGAAGTTTTAAATGTAACAGACATTACCGGATTTAACTGAATTCCTGTGGACACAGTAGAAAGACAGTAGGGAGAAGTCCCCAAGCTGTTAGCAGAGAGGATTGAATATCAGGTGCAAAAGTCAGGATTAGAATAATGTTGAATAAGATGCATTGTGAAAGTGCAACAATAGGTAATAAGGGTGCCTGGTCAACATCCTGAGATCATAGCAAGACACATAACTGTTTATCAACTGATCACACATTGATTACATTCACATCCAGTCAATAACACAATCGGTTTGCTATTAGCTTGAAAACATTAGACCTGGCTGAAAACTGATATACAATAGTTTGTGTGTTTCCTTTATTTAATGAAGAAACTTCTGGATCTTCAGAAGATATTTCCCCCCACTGGTATAACATCACTATGTTACAAGTGGACTTCAGATGTCGAGTGATTCATTTGGTTATTCTGCCCTAACATGCTTCAACGAAAGTACTACATGCAATTTGGCTCGTTATATCTTAGGATGGACACCAAAGCCTTACAGAAGGAACAGAAGAGACTAAATGTAATAGGACTAGCTGGAGTTGTCCTCCTTAAAGGAGAGACGGTTTAGAGGAGTTTTGGTAGAGGGGCTCAAAATCACGATTGACTTGATTTATTTTTAATTACTGTTTTCAATAGAAGAAAGTCAGTAACCACACAGGTGAGGTTATTGGAAAAAAATCTAGATGCAACATGTAGCAACTTTAATAAAGGCAGCAAATTGTTGCAATCTGGAATACGTTGACTGAATATGGCTCTACTAACATATCAATGTCAGTGTTGAAAACAGAGTTGGATCTATGCTTGAAGGGGAAAAAAAAAACTGCAGACTGTGTCATTTTAATTTCCTGTATTTTTGACAGTGGACTGAAATGGGAAAGAGACTTTTAAAAACCAAGGATTGTTGCAATCTTCCGCCCCCACACCCCAGTAAATTGGTACAAACAGCACATAAAATGAGCAAAGATGTTTGTTTAAGCAGCAGTGGAAATGTGGTTTGCAGATGAGCAAGAGCCAAATGATCAACATGGAGCTTTGACTGGCAACAAGTAGCTGATTGGTGACCACCCCATTGACCAGATATTGATGACAATTGCCTTCTGCCTACCAACTATGTGAATTGCACCCAGCTAGGGAAATTATGGAGCAGCCACTGGATCTCTGAAAAGGACAGAACCATCTCTGTCCTCTGTAGTTGAAAACGAAGTCAAATCTGAAGATCGCCAGTTTGTTTTTTTATTATTCATTCATGGGATGAGGGTGTCACTGGCTAGGCAGCATTTATTGCCAATCCCTAATTGCCCAGAGGGCAGTTAAGAGTCAAACACATTGCTGTGGGTCCAGAGTCACATGTTGGCCAGACCAGGTAAGGATGGTAGTTTCTTTCCCGAAAGGGCATTAGCGAACCAGATGGGTTTTTCCAACAATCAACAATGGATTCATGGTCATCATTAGACTCTTAATTCCAGATATTTATTGAATTCAAATTCCACCATCTGCTGTGGCGGGATTCGAACTTGGGTCCTCAGAACATTATCTGGGTCTCTGGATTAACAGTCCAGCGATAATACCACCAGGCCATCATCTTATAAGTTGTGCTTATAACTAGTAAGTCAGAGACTTAGTGGAAGTGGCTGGAGGAGGAGGAGGAGAATGAGGATGAAGATGATCATGGAACCAAGTATCCTGTACAACCAGAAGCACCGGGAGTAGATTTATTTAGGATACCTGGTTGGCATAGACGAGTTGGACCGAAGGGTCTGTTTCGTGCTGTACATCTCTCTGATTCTGACTCTGACCAGTGAATCTAAGTGAATCTTGTTAATAGGAACCATTGAACTGCCTTCCAAGTCTTTCCTTACACCGATAACACCAGTGTTTTGTTTTCTAAGCCCATGTCTCTGTGTAAGGAGGATTTTATAATTGGCTTGAAGACCAGCAGAATTATTTGTTGATGGCTCATAATTATTTATCTGTAGTTAAAATATAATTATTCGTAAGATACAACAATTCTTGTTGAATATAGAATCCTGGTCCCTGTTGACAAACTGGCTCCAGAAGACAGGTAAATTGGGAAATTCCGCACACGTTTAAAATTTTTTCACTGGTGATGACTCAGGAATAGCTTGAATTCTTATGTGCTATCCAGTGAGGCATAGCAATTTACACAAAGCTTTTTATAAAACAGGAGAATAGGGGTTAAATGAATACCTCAACTAATGAACTGATGCAGGCTGTGAAATAAACAAGAGGACCAACCATCTCACATAACTCCTTACCTGTCTATACACTGTGCAGCCAGACAAGCAGTGGTTAATATTTCTTTAACGTGGGTCAGCCAGCTAGAAGCTTCCAATTTGCTGAGCCATCTATCCATGTTGTGGGATTGGTCATTTGAAGCTTCTACCAGTTTAATTAAACTTTCCTGAAGAATGTGATACCTGGTCAAAAAAAAAACAATACAAGTAAGCATACTTTATTTTTTTTTTACTGAAAAGTCCTTTATTAGGCATTAATTCTTCATACTTTGCTTAAAAAAAAGCATTGAAATAACCCAAAACCTTCACTCGCCACATTTGTCCAAATTTCCTCATTAACCACAGCCAAAAGGTTATGATTGTGTGAGTGAATTACTCCTCCACCACCTCCTTCTCTCTCTTCAACCCACACCGCCACCACTTCACCAGCATGGTGAGTGATACTTCTTAGCAACTTCTCTGGTCCTTAAATGCATCTTTTTAATAATGCGCAGTTTTACTCCCCAAAAACACCACACTTTTTTGGAAAAAAAACATTTTTCTCCCCTAGTCACATTTGAATTTCTCAGGCTTTATTTTACTTTCTATACAGGACTGGAATCAAATTTCCCACTTTATTCTTCATGATTTTGATCACAAGTTCATTAGGATCTGAAAACACAGGAATTGTGATGTGCTATTACCTTGCGCTGATTGCGTCCAATGTATGTAGTCAGCACTAAGTGCACTTTTAAGTGGCTGTATCCTTGAGCACAGGATGCAAGAGAGGATATCACAAGTTCACAAGCACAAGCCCAAGTCTAGCCTTCACCTCTTAAAAGCTTGGAACATTCTGACTGGAGCCAGCACTATTAGTTAGAAGTAATTTTCATTTGGGAAAGTCAAGAATGGCACATGGTAGAGGGAGAATGCCAAGGGAGGAGATGGGGGAAAATACTAAATGAGTATTTTGCATTAGTGTTTACTGTGGAGAAGGATATGGAAGATACAGAACATGGGGAAATAAACGGCAACCTCTTGAAAAACGTCCATATTATACAGGTGCTGGTTCTGGACATCTTAAAACACATAAAGGTGGATACATCCCAGGGACCTGATCAGGTGTACCCTAGAACTCTATGGGAAGCTAGAGAAATGACAGCTGGGCCCCTTGCTGAGATATTTGTATCAGCGATAGCCTCTGGCGAGGTGCTGGAGGACTGGAGGTTGGCTAACGTGGTGCTGCTATTTAAGAAAGGTGATAAGGAAATGCCAGGAACTACAGACCAGTGACCCTGACATTGGTGGTGGGTAAGTTGTGGGAGGTAAATCCTGTCCCTCAGGATTCCATGTATTTGGAAAAGCAAGGACTGATTAGGGTTAGTCAACATGACTTTGGGCATGGGAAACAGTGTCTCGTGAATTTCATTGAGTTTTGAAAAAGTAACAAAGACAATTGATGAGGGCAGAGTGCTGGACGTGATCTATATGGACTTCAGTAAAGTATTCGAAACGGTTCCTCATGATAGATTGGTTAGCAAGCTAGATCACACGGAATACAGGGAGAAGTAGTTATTTGGACACCGAACTGGCTCGAAGGTAGAAGACAGAGGGTGGTGGAGGAGGGTTGCTTTTCAGACTGGAGGGCTGTGACCAGTGGCGTGCCACAAAGATCAGTGCTGGGTCCACTGCTCTTTGTCATATATATAAATGATTTGGGTGTGAACATAGGAAGTATGTATGGTTAAGAAGTTTGCAGATGACACCAAAATTGGAGGTGTAGCGGACAGCGAAGAAGGTTACCTCAGAGTACCAAGGAACCTTAAATCGATGGGCCAATGGGCTGAGGAATGGCAGATGGAGTTTAATTTAGATGAATGTGAGGTGCTGCATTTTGAAAAGGCAAATCAGGGCAGGACTCCTACACTTAATAGTAAGGTCCTGGGGAGTGTTGCTAAACAAACAGACCTTGAAGTGCAGGTTCATAGTTCCTTGAGAGTGGAGTTGCAGGTAGATTGGATAGTGAAGGTGGTGTTTGGTATGTTTTCCTTTATTGGTCAATGCATTGAGTATAGCAGTTGGAAAGTCACATTGAGGCTGTACCAGGATATTGGTTAGGCCATTGTTGGAATACTGTGTGCAATTCAGGTCTACCTGCTATAGGAAGGACGTTGTGAAACTTGAAATGGTTCAGAAAAGATTTACAAGGATGTTGCCAGGGTTGGAGGGTTTGAGCTATCAGGAGAGGCTGAACAGACTGGGGCTATTTTCCCTGGAGCATCAGAGGCTGAGAGGTAACCTTCTTGAAGTTTATAAAATCAGGAAAGGCCTGGATACAGTGAATAGCCAAGGGCTTTTCCCCAAAATGGGGGAGTCTAAAGCTAGAGTGCACAGCTTTAAGGTAAGAGGGGCAAGATTTAAAAAGAGAGACCCAAGGGGCAACTTTTTCACGCAGAGAGTGGTGCGTGTACGGAATGAGCTGCCAGATGAAGTGGTGGAGGCTAGTGCAATTACAACATTTAAAAGGCATGTGGATGGGTATATGAATAGGAAGGTTTTAGAGGGATATGGGCCAAATGCTGGCAAATGGGACTAGATTTACTTATATCCAGTCGGCATGTAGGAGTTGGACTGAAGGGTCTGTTTCCGTACTGTATATCTCTATGACTCTCAAAAATTACAGTATACCTGTAAAGATCCCTTGTCTTCACATCCCTGTGGCCACTAAATCTACAACCTCTTTAGGAAGATATATGATCATACTGAATGGCAGAACAGGTTCAAAGGACAAATATAGAAGTGATTAAAAAGAAAGCACGTTAATTCAATGACATTCTTTCAGTCAAAAGGTCAGAAGTGAGGAGGCTGGCTGATAAATTCACATGATTCGCACAATTTGTGACTTTTGTGTCAATATGCAGCAAGACCTTGGTTGATAAGCAGCAAGTGATACGACTGCCATACCCATGCTGGTCAATGGCCATCTCTAACAAGACAGAATCTAACCATCTGGCATTTTAGCAAGACGGTAAGAAACTTGGGTACCAATAACAAAGCCACTTAACACACCACAATATTGTGCCATGTACCATTTTGGTGTTGACAGGTGTGCTTCCCTTTTGATTTCTAAAAATTCAAATTATTCCTGCTTCCTAGACTTTTCTATCCTTTTGCCCCGACTCTTGACCCCATATCTGTGATCTACAATAACTTTCTGAGTTGTCCCAGAGGCTTAATAATGTGTCACCATTTTTTTTGAATTGTGAGGATGTGTTTGATGCCAGCCTTGGGCGACTGTGCGTGTGCAGTTTGCACATTCTCCCAGTGTCTGTGCGGGTTTCCTCAGTGTTCTCCGGTTTCCTCCCACAGTCCAAAGATATGCTGGTTAGGATTGGACCATGCTAAACTGCATGGTAGTATCCAGGGATGTGTAAATCAGGTAGATTAGCCATGGGAAATGCAGGGTTATGGGGATAGGTTTGGGGGCTGTGTCTGGGTGGGATGCTCTTTGGAGGGTTGGTGCAAACTCAATGGGCCAAATGGCCTCTTTCAACGCTGTAGGGATTCTATCATTCACAAAATTATTTTACAAAGGTAGTTGCAAATGCAGGGGGCAGTTGATCATGTTTACTAAAACGTTGTTTGATTCTCTGCTCTGCAATTAGCAGAGTACATGGGAAAGCTATCTCCTCCTAAGCTGTTCTTTCCATGTCAATATTCTATGGGTAAGTAATTGCAGCAACACTGCACACTGTATTAGGGTGAAAATTTACAAGGTGATTCAATGTTGATGTCTGCTTTTTTAATTACTAGTGTGACAAAATACATGATTTAGAAATAGTGACATGCAAAGTTAACAGACTGGAAATACATGCATAAGGAAGACTTCATACTGTGTGCATATGAATGAAGTAACTTGGATCTCTGCTTGAGTTACAAATACCAGCAAACAGCCTCAACAGATTCCAGAGCTGAAAAGCAAGGTGCTATTTAGGGAAATTCTGGGAATTTCCATCCATTCGAAAGTCATGCCAAAATATCTTGTCATGGCTCAAACTTTAACTGAAAATGTCAATTTTCTATAAATCTGATGTCAAAACTGTTCCAATTAAAAAAAAAAGGCTTTGCAACACAATAGTAATTCAATTAAGGATATTAAAAATCAGAAGTTAATGTAACTGATGTGGTTTCACTTACCTTTCTATGGACTTGTGAATTCGTCTCCACTGAGGGTAATGTGCTTCTTGTTCAAAACCACCTCCTTTGGTTCTAGCTTGCTGAGCAGCATTAACAGATCTAGTGTCAATGATATAGCCACGTTTTCCTGCCCGCAGAGTGGCATTAATCAATTTCTCATCATCTTTACACCGTCTTCCATTAGTTCCAGTCATTGGCTGCGAACTGCGCATCATTACCTACAAATGTTTCATAATTAAATTGAGAAATCAAATAATGACTATTATATAAACAAAAACCTTAATTGAGGTACCATATAAGACAAGAGAATGCAAAGGTATTAGTTGAGTATAGGAATCTTTATATTTTGCATTTTAGATTTATGGACAAAATAATAATCGATACACTTTTATTCATTCTTAAGAAAGAAGTATCCATTGCCCAAGAACAATTTGCAAACAAAGGTGTTCACAAGATGATCTTCAGTGTTCCCCATGTCAAAGATCTCTTCTTGCTGACTTAGAATTAGATTTTATTGTCACGTATGCTCAAGTGTAGGAATACAAGTGTACAGTGAGAAGTGTACAAACTCATATTGTTTCTGTTGCTATACACATATAGCTGCAAGTCTGCTGACAACACCACCATTGTAGGCCAAATCTCAAAATGACAAGACAGAATACAGGAAAGAGGTAGAGCGTTTGGTGGCGTGCTGTAAAGATAACCATCTTTACCTCAACATCAGCAAAACGAAAGAGCTGGTCACTGACTTTCAGGAAGCAAAGTTCAGGATATGCCCCGATCTACATCAGTGGTGCGGAGATGGTCAACAGTGTCAAGTTCCTAGGAGTGATGATCATCAACAATCTGTCCTGGTCCACCCATGCTAATGTGAAAGTCGAGAAAGCACAACAACGCCTCTACTTCCTCAGGAGGTTAAGGAAATTCAGCATGTCTGTGAAAGCTCTGAACAATTTTTATAGATGCACCACAGAAAGCATTCCATCCAGATGCATCTATGCTTGGTATGGAAATTGCTCTGTTGTTTCTTATGGTCCTAGATAAAGAATCATGAACACAACCCAGTCCAACACACAAGCCAACCTTGTATCCGTTGACTCCACCTATTCTTCTCACTGCCTCTTCTGTTAGGCAGAAGATACAGAAGCTTAAACTTGCTGTGCTGGGGCAGCACGGTGGCTCACTGGTTAGCACCGCTGCCTCACAGCGCCAGGGGCCTGGGTTCAATTCCACCCTTGGGCGACTGTCTGTGTGGAGTTTGCACATTCCCCCTGTGCCTGTGTGGGTTTCCTCCAGGTACTCCAGTTTCCTCCCACAGTCCAAAGATGTGCAGGTTAAGTGAATTCGCCATGCTAAATTGCCCATACTGTTTAGGGATGTGTACCTTAGGTGGGTTATAAGGGGGTGAGTCTGGGCGGGATGCTCCAAGGGTCTGTGTGGACTTATTGGGCCAAAGGGCCTGTTTCCACACTGTAGGGATTCTATGTTCTATGTGAATAAACACATGTACCACAGATTCATGAACAGCTTCTTCCCCACTGCTATTAGACTTCTGAACGGACCTCTCAAATTTTAAATTTAATGTTGAGCTGGAGGAACACAGCAGGCCAGGCAGCATCAGGTCCAACCCTCCATCTCATCCCTGCCTCTTTGAACTGACATAATCTGTCCATCTTCTTTCTCTCCTATCCGCCCCACCCATCCCGTTGACTAATCCCCATCACTCCCTCCCTGCATTCACCTATCACCATCCCACCTACTTCCCCGGCCCTATCCCTCCTCTCTCTATTTATTTCCCAGCTCCTTTAACCCTCCCCATTTCTGAAGAAGGGTACCGACCTGAAAAGTCAACTTTTCTGCTCCTCTGATGCTGCCTGGCCTGCTATATTCCTCCAGTTCCACACTGGGTTATCTCTGACACTAGCATCTGCAGTTCTTGCTATCTCTTAAATTTAATGTTGATCTTGTTCTTGTGCACTTTTTCTGCAGCCGCAACACTGTATTCCTCACTCTGCTCTATTGCTCTAATGCACTTTGTACGATATGATCTGCTTGTACTGCACGCAAAACAAAAAAGTTTTCACTGTACTTAGGTACATGTGACAACAATAAAATACATGATAATAAAATGGTTGGCACTATTGGTCTCGTTGACATTGCCTTGTCAGGATTAGGAAGCTGGTTGCCCCAGACCCAACAACAGGTGAAGTGCATACAATAGTATTGGCACAAAACTCAAAGAAAGAAAAATATCTATTAAACTGTCTTACACCCACTGGCTTTCAAGTAGTTGTTCTTCCACATCATAGCGCCAAAACTGGTTTTCGGTTGTCACGATTCAAGTGTTCAATGAATAGGTCATTTTTGCCAGTCTCTCCCACCTTGATCTTGCAACCTGCTATTATCAGTCCCTGTTAGTCAGCTGCTTCCATTTTGCTCAGCTGATTTCAGCTCAAGATCTGATATGGATTGTTATTGTTTCCCATTCTGCAGTCAGTTGCTATGATTTGTCAAACTAAATGGATAAAATTTTAACTTGCCCGGTGGCTGCCATCATTAATTTTAGCTATACTCTTTCAAGGATAAGGTGATCTGTTAAAGACTAAAACTGCTATCTAACTCAAATTATATGCTGCAACATAATCTAAGGAGACATATTAATAAAAGTAGCTTTGCTGCAACTTGACACTCAGTTAAAATACAGCTAGAAGCGAGACTAATTGAGTGTCACAAGATGAAATCATTCAGAACTTTTAGAGTGCAACTTGCATTTTGACTAGCTGAACTGATGAGAAAGATACACAACTCATCAATCTCTGTGCTTCTCAGAGGCCAAACCAACTCAGCCCTTGGTACAATCTCTTACTCATAGTAATACAACAGGTGTAAATCGCTGCAACTCAACTGAATTTGTTCAGCCGTTCAAAAAAATCTGCTGCACAATAAAGTTAAAACTACAATCCATCCCTGTCTGAGAAGCACAATTAGTCTTGCTGCCCAGAATACGTTTGAGCTTTAAGAATAGAACGACAATCCCACTTTCACTGAACTCCAAGTCTTGCCGTAATCTAGATTCCGTCCAGTAGAAATTATCAGCAGTCAGGTGTTTTTCCAGACAGAGAGACAATGGGAGGAGATAGATTAGCTCATCTCAATGCCAATGGCTGATTGACTGAGACAGACAGAGACACAGTAACTAGCACCATGACGAAGCGATCTCTGCTTCTACATCATACACTGCTCCCATAACCAAACAACTTACCACATCTCCCTCCACTTCAATTCTTCCTTATCCATCTCCTGATCTTTCCCTTTCAGCTCTTCTCCAGTCAGCTCCCCACTTCCAGCCCTCATCATATCAACTCTCCCACCCCATCATCATCCTTCCCCAAAGGCTTGCCTCAGTGAGATATTAAAATGACAACATAATGTGCAGTTTTAAAACGGAGGTCAAGTTACACCTGCATGCCAGGGTAGACTACACTCAAAATCTGCTATTAAGATCAAAAGCCATGTGTTCCAATGTGGTTGTATTCTCCATTGACAGTTCCTACAGAGACAAGAATTCTAATTTTTAACATTTACTGGCAACATTTTCCTGTTGTTACAGAAACTCTTGAACATGACTTCCATTATAGGTCAACAATAAGATTTAGCAACGGGTCCATCTCACGATCACATGAAACCTGTTATCTTCTGCCACAGCTACTCCCATACAGCTCCACCTGCTGGACCAAAAACAATACTAAGCATCTTAAAACTAGTTTTACCTTCAGAAAACACGCTACTGAAGCTTGGTTCTGATAATTCCTGTCCACCATCTTATTCAATTGGGTTTATAACACCGCAAAAACAAAACTACATGGTAAACAAAATCGCAAATTTTTAAAGAAAAATGTGAAGAACAGCCAGGCCAACAGAGCTTTAACTAAGATAACAAGGTATAGAGCTGGATGAACACAGCAGGCCAAGCAGCATCAGAGGAGCAGGAAAGCTGACGTTTCGGG